AAAATGTTCATCTATAAAATTTATAATGTAAGGGATGGAATTTCTATAGTTCTATACATATCTAACTTTCTAAGTGATATGAAAATAGAATGATGAGAATCAGTAAACATATTTTTTTTTAATTTTCTTCTCCGATTCTATGCTTCTGAGTATGTTCTGTAGAATTACTCCAGAACAGCCTTGACTTCATGATTCAAATCACAGGCTTTATTACAGATTCTACAAATACTATCTCAGGTCTCTTTTCTAGATGAGTAAAATTACAGAATAGAGGCTCCATTACATGTAGGAAAATATTCAAAAAGCTGTTTTTAAGTATTTGACACTATACAACTGAGAATGTCATAAAGTGGAAAGTGGTACATAGATATTACTGCTTTTGAAAACAAAAGTAAAGAGCTTTTTCACTAGGCCCTGTTCTAATAATTTTATTCATTACCAAATTTGTTTAAAGGTTTATGTCATATTAACCTGTATCCATCCAGTCTTACTTTGTATTTTATCTTCTAGTCCTTATTGTGACTCTCTTCATGCAATGTGCTTAAATACTGTTAGCTGAATTATGGTCAGATTTTGAAAAACTGATACACAGTCTTATAATTATGTATCCTTTGGATTATAACTAAGAATTCAAACTAAATGTAAGGCACCAATTATAAAAGGGCCCTATTTTATAACATGCACTATTGATTTTGCACCTTTTGCTTTCTATGAATAGCTAAGATCATACTCAGATTTCTTGGTTAAAAACCATAAAGAAAATCCAATGAAAAGTTTTAAAAAGAAATTTTGAAACTACTTGAACAGCTAATTAAGAACTTAGAAAATTAGGGCGCCTGGGTGGCTCAGTTGGTTAAGCAACTGCCTTCGGCTCAGGTCATGATCCTGGAGTCCCGGGATCGAGTCCCATATCGGGCTCCTTGCTCAGCAGGGGGTCTGCTTCTCCCTCTGATCCTCCCCCCTCTCATGCTCTCTCTCTCTGTCTCATTCTCTCTCTCAAATAAATAAATAAAATCTTAAAAAAAAAAAAAAGGAAAAAAAAAAAAAGAACTTAGAAAATTGATATGAACCTCATATTAGATATACAATTACTTCTAACATTAGTGTAAATTTTCATTTCCTTTCGATTCCTGAGCTATGACAATGTGTGAAAAAAAATTGACCTAATGGTGCCTTTTATTTTAAGTAAAGAAGCTAATTTTGATATTGTAATAATCAGACATCATTTTTATTGTTGTATCTTAATCCTTTATGCTTCTAAAACTGTTTAATTTTGTCAACACAAAGACCTTACTGGTTTCTTTATCCTATCTTACATATTGCTAGTATTAGTCTTTTTATTGTTACATGTTTTTCCTTTAAAAATATTCATATTCCCTTTGAGCTATCACCCCCACTGCCATCACATCCTGGGTATCCAGGTCACTCTTCCTAGTTACCAGAAAAATAAATCTATATATACTTGCCTTCATTCTTACAGAAGCTCTACCAGGCCCCTGGTCCCACTTCTTATTCTAATTTGCTTGAGTAGGAGAAAAGAGAGGTAGACAGGGAGGATGTCTCCCATGACTGACCATGTGCAAGTTTTACTACCTGAAATTATTTAAGGGGTAATTCCTCGTTCTTCAAATCAAAGATTATTAAACCCTATAATCACTGAAGCTTATCTTAGTCAAAAATTTATTGCAAGCTACTTTATGCTTTCATTCTTTTCCTTAATTTCTACATTAATGACATAAATTAGCTACATATGGTTCTTTCAAACCTTACAGACTTTCGAGATCTCATGGAAATTTTATCTGTTTAAATCATTTTAAAGCGAACTTATGTATCTCTACTGAACACTTTACTTCTACAGCTAATAGTTAACTATCAATTCTTTACAGAGTTGATCCTCCTTAATTTCTCAAAAGCCCCTCATACCTCAAAATTTAAGGAAATATTACCAAATAGCTGACCCTTTATGTATCTTTACTGCTCATTCATTTTTTCCCTCTTCTGTGATGCATTTATTTTTAACCTACTACCAAGAAAAGTCTCAGAGACTAGCTAACACACTACCTAAATGGACACATAAACAGATATATCCTATTATTCCCTTTCTGTCATTGCTCACTTGATCTCTTCTATTGTCATATTTTGTTAAAATATATATATCAAAAGACAAGGTATTTTATCTTATGCCCCAAATTCTCCCAATATTAGCTTGCAAATTATTTGCTCATCTAATATTTCTATAAACTAACAATTAGAAATTTATCAACCATCAGGGAGCTATGGATGTTGCACCAAAGGCCAAAGTAGCAGTAGCAACTGAAAGGCCACTTTGTATCCTGTCTACCCTCCCTAAAGCTGAGCAAATCTAGGTCATTACATTCAGCAGGGAGCTTTGAAACACCTTCCAACTTTGTGCTGCGTGATGATGAGTGTCTCTTGACCTAGTTTTGAACAAGAGAAATGCAAGGTTGCCAGGCCATGGAGACTGTAATGGTTGGATTTATGCCTTTCTGTTGCTAGAAGGATCCCTAAAATATAAGCTTCATGATCCTTCCCTTTCAAGGAAACAATAATGTGGTTATGTTTGTTATCTCTTGGCTGGGAGGCCAAAGATCCAATATGTTACTATTTCAGGTTGTATGCAGATTGAACTTGACTAAGATGGTTTTAATGATCCTTCAGCTTGACTAAGATATAAACAGATTACTTCTGAACTTTAGATCTTTGGTCTCCCTTTTCTCAGAGCATTTACTTCAGAAAACTTGTACTTAACAAATTCTTTCTCTACTCCTTGGAGATGTAAGTAATTTTTATAGCCTTTTTGCCAGTTTTACAACCCAGGAATCTTGTTCTCAAGGACCCGGAAGCATTCTCTTTGAAATGTCAGGTTCAAGGATGATAGTACCCTTATCTCTCAGTTTTTGTGGGAGAATAGAAGTATAATTTGAGTGGGTACCTTGCTCTAAGTTGTAAAGCTACATTATGTCACAAAGATAGGAAAAAGTTTACTTTTCCTTTAGGTAATGCCAAATGGCAAACACAGATGGTTTGTGTTCTCTCATCCTAGCACTTAAAAATCTCTCCCTCCCTTTGTTTCATCAGAATTAAATAAAGACTGAATTTTGTCTCTTTCCCCTATTGCAACAGCCTTGAATACATACTTGTTTACTCACTTACCTTTGTCCAGTCCAATATTTTCTTGGACAAAATATAATTTAAAAATAACTGAGGCAGGGGCGCCTGAGTGGCTCAGTCAGTTAAGTGCCTGACTCTTGATTTTGGCTCAGGTCATGATCTCAAGGTTGTGAGATCCAGCTCAGTAGGGCTCCATGCTCAGTGGGGAGTCAGCTTGAGGTTCTCTCCCCCTTTCCCTCTGCTGCTCCTCTCTGCATGGGAACTCATGCTTGCCTGTGCACGCTCTCTCTCTCTTTAAAATAAATAAATCTTTAAAAAATGAAAAAAGATAAAAATAACTGAGGCTGGGAAATGTGTATGTCTGTCCATCACATTGCTATTTTGAGATTCAGCACCCAGAGAATGAGCATTTTTCTTTTCAAAGAGGCTTAATTTACTGATTGAGTGTTACATTAGCAAACTCCCTTCTATGAGAAGCCAAATCCTCCTTCAGGAAGACAGATTCCCACTAGTCCCACAGCCTTTTGGTTCTAGTGGCTGATCTTCACAATGCCATCTCATGTTTCCCAGTAACGAGATATGCTGCAAAAACACAGCTCCTTAAGCTAGGGTCCTGCTGTTTTGATAATCAGGCCCTAGCCTACATTTTTTCTTATTTCATACCATGATTGAGCGTTCAGGCAAAATGAGCCACCTGCCATTTATACTATATATATATATATAACTTCTATTTATATATATATCTATCTATATAGGTAGATATATATATATAACTTCAATTCATACCATCTACCTTGGCCTCTATCACAAGATTTTATTATAATGTCTCCCCCTTACCACAATAATCTTGAAAACTATTAAAATGTTTTAAATGAATAGGAGTCCTGATAATGCTTTGAACAGCAGGTTTTATGCCTTCTAACTCCCTTAATGTGTCACATTATATCAATATTTATTCCTTCATCTAATTCTTCTCTACTTGGACTATGAGCTTCTGGAAAGCTAAGACATCTTATTCATTAGTTTATTCTCCAGAGATACAGCTGATAGTTGCACACTGAGAAACATTAACAAATGTTTGCTAAATTGGCAAACTTATTTGAATGCACTAAATATAACATAGTGCAAAGGCCATTAGAAAATGTCAACATAGTAGATCAGGAGGAAAAGCCTCAAAAAGTAGTCATTTCCATAACTAAGTATCTTCATCGTCCTTTTCAGCTAAGTTTGTCAAGTCCACATTAAATGTTCTGTGAAGATTTTAATATTAAAATAATACATTTTAAGGAGAAAAGAGTTATTCCAATCCATAGGAAAGAAAATGAGAATCTATTTCCCTTCCTAATGCTCTCAAAATGGACATTAAAAAATTCTTATTTGATAATTAATAACCTCTTTGCTTGTCTCCCAAGCTCATTCCATTGACTATTTTTTTTTTTTAAGATTTTATTTATTTATTTGACAGAGAGAGAGATAGCGAGAGCAGGAACACAAGCAGGGGGAGCGGGAGAGGGAGAAGCAGGCTTCCCTCCGAGCAGGGAGCCCGATGCGGGACTCGATCCCAGGACCCTGGGACCATGACCTGAGCCGAAGGCAGACGCTTAACGACTGAGCCACCCAGGCACCCTCCATTGACTATTTTTATAAGCTTATTATGACCTTTGTAGAAGGGAATAGGGTATATGTATACATATATACATTTGTGATTCCATGACAAATGAAAAGGTAGTCTGATTTTTCCCCGTTAGATAATTTTTCAACTGAAAAAGTGAAAGATACAAACTAAACACTTTTTAAGCTTTAAATTTTATACTCAAATTCTAAAATTCACAAGACATCAACATGAAGTTATAATTCTTTCACTGTACCTGTATATGCAAATTGGACAAGGTCCCAGAGGGCATTGGGGTCTATGCCTTCCATCTTGATCTCCTCTTGCTTGGCTTCACAAACATCACTTGTAAACATGGCAGCAAAATAGTCGGAGACTGAGCTCAGAACAAGCCTGAAAGAATCATAGGGTCTAATTTAGGTCATGAGTTTAAAGCAGCAAATGCTAAGTGTCAATAAGAATGCAGTGTAGGGGCACCTGGGTGGCTCAGTTGGTTAAGCGTCTGATTCTTGGTTTCAGCTCAGGTCATGATCTCAGGGTCGTGAGATGGAGCCCTGTGTCAGGTTCCACACTCAGTGTGGAGTCTGCTTAAGACTCTCTCTGTTCCTCCCACCCTGCTTGCTTGCTCGCTCTCTCTCTCTAAAATAAATAAAAAATCTTTAAAAAAAAAAAAAGAATGCAGTATAGAGGTACTCTATCTATCTACCTACCTATCATCTATTTATCTCTGTATCTATCTATCATCTATCTATCAATCTATTTATTGCCTTATAGATTGTACTTTTCAAAACTGAGTTAGGAAATCTTGTTCCACCTTTGGTCACAGAACATTCTTCTATCATTTTAAATACATATTTTTTTCTCTCACATTTAGTTCTTCCATCCTTTTGGATAGGAATCCAATTTTATTTCTGTCTATATACTCACTTTTTACCACACTACCTACTAAAGACTCTGATTATTCCCCACTGAATTAATGGCACATCTATATTGAGAATTTGCGTCCTGAATGTATACTAATCTGTCTCTGAGATTTCTATTGTTTTCTGCTTATTTGCCTGTTCTTGTAAGAACATATTATTCTTTTTATACTGTGAGTCTAAATATGTCTTTATAATCATATGAGGCAAGTCCTCTGTCTTTATTTTTATTTAACTATTAGTGAAGTTTTATTCTTCATTAGAGTTTAAAGTAAGTTTGTTAAGTTCTTCGAATAAGTTAAATGGAATTTTAATTAAAAATGCACTGAATTTCTGATTTTATTTTTGGTGATATAAAGTCATCCAACACAAAAATACAAAATATATCTCCATGTTTTCAGGATATCCTGTCTGCTTTCTATTCAAATTTTAAAGTTTTCCCTAAAATCGTCTTGTATATTCTTGGTTGATTTCTTCATACTTTACAGTTTTGTTGGCATTATGTGTAGTAACTTTTTAAAAAATTCTATTTTTTTGTTGGTTTTTGCTGGTTTAAAATTCTGAAACTCATAAATCCATCTTTTATCTGACATATTTACTGAATTATCTTTCTAGTTCTTTTGACTCTGCTATTTTTTTTCTAGGTAGATGATTATTATCACCTGCAAATAATCTCATTTTGTCTTATCCTTGTTTATTTTCTATAACTCATTTTCTTTTTCTTTTCTGAAAACTTCATCCAGGACCTCCAGTGTTCCAGTGGTGTGCTGAACAGTCATTGTGCCAGGGGAGAAAATTTGTGTTTTTCTCTATCTTCAAAGAAACACATCTAAAGATTCTCCTTTTAGTAAGATACTTGTTGAATGTATTGGTATGTAACCTTTATCATGTCAGAAAGACCTCTTTATTTCTAGCTTTGCTAACCACTGTTATAATATATAGGTGTTAAAATTCATAAAAGGCCTTTATCTCAATCAAAATTATCTTTAGCATTTTCTATTTATAGTCACAAGAGAGATGAACCTATAATTTTTTTGTTGTATTTTCTTATCTGACTTTTCTTTTTTAAGATTTTATTTATTTATTTGACAGAGAGAGACAAAGCAAGAGAGGGAACACAAGCAGGGAGAGTGGGAGAGGGAGATGCAGAGCAGGGAGCCCGATGCGGGGCTCGATCCCAGGAGCCTGGGATCATGACCTGAGCTTAAGGCAGACGCTTAATGACTGAGACACCCAGCCTCCTCTTCTTATCTGACTTCTGAGTTAATATTACATAGCCTCATAAAATGAGGTGGCAGCTTCAACTCTTTTTAATTTTGTATAATGATTTATAGAAGAAAGCAATGAATTTTTCCCTTAAGATGTTCCAGAACTTACCTGAAAAAATATTTTGGTTTGACTATTATGAGAAAAGGTGACATGATCTCATTTTAATTATTTAATAAACTACAAGGCTTATTTTTGTGCTCTATTTCTTCATTATCAACTTCTGCATTTCATATATTTTTTAAATTTACCCATTTTATCTCGGTTCTAAAATTTATTGATGTATATTAATGTATATAAAATTATGTGTGGCTTTAATTCTACATATATATATATTCTCTATCTGTACTTTTGGGTGAATCTTTTCATTGTCTTTTTTCAAAAAATCTCATTCATTAACATTTTAGCTACATCTTTTTTGCATATAGATGAATGTATTTTTTTAAAGTGGTTCTTCTTGAGTAGGGATCAAAATATTTTTTTCTGTAAAGAGGCAGATATTACACATTTTAGGCATTGAGAGTCATATATATAGTCTGTCATATATTTCATAGTTTTCAAATCAGGAGATATTCTTTTTCAATTACTTATTTTGTAATTTTTTTT